CAAATACTATATTTTAATTTATGTTCTGTACTTTACAAAAAAAAAAATGTTATAATTAAATATATATAGTATATATATATATATATATATATATATATATATATATATAGTATCTTCATTAATCTTCTGTCAATTCCCTGAGTGAGTCATACAACGATTTCTCTGGGTATTTTCTCCTTGGTGTTGTCTCGAGTTGTGTTTTAAGAATCAAAGGTTCCATTAAGAGTTTCAGGTTTGTTGTCAAATTTTTTCGCTAGGTATTCCAATCTTTCTTGTATGGGTTGTATTCCAGTGATATGGATTTCCTTATGCTTGTGCGCTCGCCTATCTCTATGTTTGTTAGGTATATAATATATTATGTATGTTTTTTTCATTATACTTTTAGAATTTTATGTAGCTGGGGTATTTGGTTCCTTAAAGGTCTTTGGGGTGCTTATTTGTTTCCTTTTATATTATTTATTTATATATATTATTTTATATTAACTGAGTATTTACAGTATTTCAGTTTTTTACTTTAAATTAAATATGTTTTAAGTATTTAAACATTATTACAGTTAAGTATTTGTATTTGTTAAGAAATAACGTGCTGCAAGCTTTAGGTAGTAATGGTATTGGTGCCTGTTTGTCTGAATAAACTGTGTCCTTTCAAAATAAAACTTATTTTGAAAATTTTTGATTTATTTCAAACCTTTCTAAAAGTCATTTAGGAATATAAAATATAACATACTAAAAACGACCTTATAAGGATGTTCCCACCCAGCAAACACATAAGTCTGGTAATGTAATGGCCCATTACAGCGTTTAATGGTTAAATGATGGCATTTTTAACCCAAGCTGTTCTTGTACTGGGCCTCTACAGGAATTTTTCGTTAATAAATGTCAATTTAAATTAATTAGACCAAAGGCTGTCGTGGTAAGGTCTTGCAATGGCCCTTTTCAGGCAATGATATGTATAATTTAACATTAAAGGCCCACATATGGCAATTATAAGTATCAAGTTAATGGAACTGTAACACACCATTACAGTGCCAAATGTTTTCCTTTGGTTTACACCATATTTACTAATGAATTGCCTCATGTTAGTGGTATTATGCATATGCATATAGAAATGAGATATATTAATTAATTATCTAATAGGTGTATTTTATAATTAATTATTAATGATCTAAACAACTAGGTAGTACCTTTTTCAAGTAAGTATTTTTACTGTACAATTTTTACATTAATGTCGTACTACCCTGATAGCAAAATTTTATTCTAAGAATCTTCTAAGAAGACATGACCCGGAATAATGGAATATTCTTAGAACCTTCACAGCAAACGGAAAATTATAGAGGTGTATAGGATGACGCCACGTTTGAATATCGATTTCTAAATCTCCCTACGGTATAGAGTGGTATTCGTCAGTCGAGCGTTTCAATACTCTCCACAGTATAGAGGTCGTAATTTCACTTTTGAACTAGTATTAATATAAAAATTATTTTATGCTTAAAAAAAACTATATACGACATGATTGTGATTTTTTTCATTTTATTAATTAATTAAGCTGTGTTGAATATTTTTCCTAAAGGAATAATTGCCAATGGCCCATTAATTCATTTGTTCGTAGATGCTACAATAACCTGCACTGGTGTGTACTTTTTCATCAACCAGATTTAAATATTACTAAACTATACCAGTGGAGATAGTGCAGGGTCTACCAACAGACCTAATTACTAAATTATTAAAGTTTAATAGCATATCGATCATTTTTCAACATAACCTCTTAAATTTTTAATACAAATATAGGTACTTTATATAATACATAAATATACTTAACATCATATCCTCTGTGCTTTACATACCTGAGTTGTTACGGTAAATAAAAATTAGACAAAGGAACCAAAGAAAGGAACTATTTTCAACAAAATCATATGGAGAAATGAGAAAATTCATCTATCAAAAGATCAAAACTTCTTGCAATATTACACCCTCTTTTTATACTCTCAGAAATATTGACTAGAACAGTATTAGAGAGACTCCAGTTTCTATAACTTGGTAGAGTAAAGAGAAGTCGAAACCGTTGCGATATTGCATTGCGCTGTTTTTGTATAATTCTCGGGGACATTAACGAAAATCATTGCCAGTAAAATTCGAAAAGCTTGAGTTTCTATGTCTCTGAGGAGAATAGGAATCCGAAGTTGCTGCACCATTGGACTGAACCCTTTTTTAATAATTTCTAGAGACATATATGACTGCACCATTCGACAGGGTCGAGTTTCTACTCCTCTGTTGAATATAGAAAATCAAAATAATGTATCTTGTAAGACACCATTGAGTTTGACTTTAAATATAGTCGTGCATAGGTATAGAGCCGAAAAATATAAAAACAAAGCACGATTCAATACAGTTATGATAAAACTTTAAGATTTGATATTCAAACGCGGAGTCATCCTATACACTTCTATAATTTTTCGTTTGCTGTGTTAACACAGCATAGGGAATTCCCTTATTGCTAAGAATGTTCTTAGGGACTTTTAAAACATTCAATAGATACCCTTTTAATGATGCAATTAGATTCTTAGAAGCTTCTTAAAACCTTCCTAAAAAGCATTCTAAGAACATTTTAAGAATACGTTTTTGGAATGTTCTTAGAAGGTTTCTTATGGAGCTTCTCGGAAGCTTTTGAAAATATTTTCAAATATGTCAGATACCCACGTTCTAATATGTTGGATTCTACATTCGTAAAATTCTTCAGGAGGCGACAAATACGCCTCACTGTCATAATATGACAGTGAAATGTATTTGTCGTCCCTTTAAAAAAATTAACGAAATTAACGAAAATCATTGCCAGTAAAATTCGAAAAGCTTGAGTTTCTATGTCTCTGAGGAGAATAGGAATCCGAAGTTGCTGCACCATTGGACTGAACCCTTTTTTAATAATTTCTAGAGACATATATGACTGCACCATTCGACAGGGTCGAGTTTCTACTCCTCTGTTGAATATAGAAAATCAAAATAATGTATCTTGTAAGACACCATTGAGTTTGACTTTAAATATAGTCGTGCATAGGTATAGAGCCGAAAAATATAAAAACAAAGCACGATTCAATACAGTTATGATAAAACTTTAAGATTTGATATTCAAACGCGGAGTCATCCTATACACTTCTATAATTTTTCGTTTGCTGTGTTAACACAGCATAGGGAATTCCCTTATTGCTAAGAATGTTCTTAGGGACTTTTAAAACATTCAATAGATACCCTTTTAATGATGCAATTAGATTCTTAGAAGCTTCTTAAAACCTTCCTAAAAAGCATTCTAAGAACATTTTAAGAATACGTTTTTGGAATGTTCTTAGAAGGTTTCTTATGGAGCTTCTCGGAAGCTTTTGAAAATATTTTCAAATATGTCAGATACCCACGTTCTAATATGTTGGATTCTACATTCGTAAAATTCTTCAGGAGGCGACAAATACGCCTCACTGTCATAATATGACAGTGAAATGTATTTGTCGTCCCTTTAAAAAAATTTGCGACATATTAATATATATTTATTTAAAAATATTAAATAAACAATTTGACCTCTAAACCATAAGTTCTATGACATTAAAAAGTAAAATTGGAAAATTTTGTGGGATTATTATACATAAAAATGTTAATTCAGAAATAAAAAATCGGTATACAAATTAATAAATATTTATTTTTAATATAAAATAAAATATAAAAAAACAAAATATTTCCTTATAAAATAATTCTTCATAAAAGAAAAAACCAAAAGTTCTTCATACCTAGTAAAAGTATTTTTGTTATCGAATATTGTTTTAATTTGACAATAGTAGATTATGTTATAAGGAGTAGAAGTGACTCCCCTATTGTAAATGACCAGTAGAAACCAATAAAAAATAAGTAATTGGTTTGAATTGGTTTGAATTGGTTTGAAATGTGTTTTGGCGCTATGAATCACCAGTTCATTCCAGTTGAATTCCTATTGGTAATTTCCAATGAAGTCAGCAACTTGAATTGGAAAATACCAATAGAATCCAATAAAAAATAAGTAATTGGTTTGAATTGGTTTGAAATGTGTTTTGGCGCTATGAATCACCAGTTCATTCCAGTTGAATTCCTATTGGTAATTTCCAATGAAGTCAGCGGCTTGAATTGGAAAATACCAATCCATGCCTATGCTTGTCTCTATTGGCTAAATCCAATAGAAATGCACATGGAATGAATTGGTAATTCATAGCGCCAAACCCATTCCAACCAATTAATTTTTTTAAATTTTGGATTAGAAAATACCTACCAGTTTATTTTTCAATCAAAAATAATTTTAGATGCCAGAAGGATAACCGGGTAAAAACCAGAATTCATTTTTCACAGAAGAGACAAAAAATTTTTTGTTACTGAGTAATTTTATTTCTTTATTATTTTTTTTGTGATATATGTATGTATTAATACTATATAACTTACTATCACAAAAAAAGTAATAAAAAATAAATCAAAATCAAACATAACTGAGTTTTTATTTTCTTGCAAAGGATGTTGGTTTTTACCTAGTTATCATTCCGGGATCTTCAATTAAACTTTCCCGCGTTTTCCCAATGTCCTAAAAACAGTATGGCGCCATTCACTAGAACGTCAATTTTAGCGCGTTTTTAACGGGTTTTGGGTAGGCTCTTTTTAGTGTTTTAAAGTGATTTAAAACCATTTCTTATAGTATGGATAGTTCGAGAACGCCTAGAAAAAGGTATAAGCGGTATTTGTTACCAGAAGCATACAAGAGCTTATGCCGTAAGAAGCAAAAACGCATTGAAAAAAAAAAACATTTTAATCCACCTGAAGGTAAGTACTCATAAAAATTTGTGTTTTGTGGGTATTACGTTAATATGAAAAATTATATTGAATACATGTTTAAAAAATATTATTTATTAAAGTAAGCACTCACATTTTTTACAAATTTATTGATTTTGACTAATATAATTGGTTTGGCAGATAATTCCTGTACTGTGGAAGAGATTTCCATGACTTCTTGGGCCAGTGATCAGCCTTCTATAGCAGTAAGTGAACAAAAAAATAGTTCCAGTAATGACTCTAGTTCAGATGAGTCTAAATCTGAAACAAATTTAAGCAGCAGCACCTCCGATGAACTGGATGACAATTTATTTAATAACAATAATGGTGCTAGTGACAATGAAAGTGCAATAAGTGATAATTCAAATCCTTTTAATGATTATCCTCTAAATGAAATAGATGACAGTGACAATGACCATACAATAGGAGAGGATAATGATGATCCTCTAAATGAAATAATGTTCGACAGTGCAAATTTAAGTAAAAAGGATGTACTTACCATGGTTTATGGTTTATCTTTGCGGCACAAGTTAACAAATGAAGCTCGGAGTGATATTCTGGAATTAATTCGAATGTGCGCCAACTTGGATACCCATTCATTTAGTACTACAAGTTACAGTTTTTCCAAAATATTTAATCCTCCAGATAACGAAATCAAATACCAATTTTATTGCAACCAATGCTATCATGGATTAACAGATTCAATGACTAAAAGTGAATTTCAAGCCAGTGAAGTGCAATGCCCTAACTCAAAATGCAAGGAGAAGCAAAATATTTCAATGACAAAAGACAATCTATTTATAACAATTGACGTTTCCTACCAACTTAAGTCCATTTTGTCAGATGAAAAGATCTTTAACAATCTTTTTCCCCAAGGAAACTTCCCATCTGAAACAATTAATGATGTTTATGATGGAGAAATATATCAAAACCTAAAGAACTCTTACCATTTTGACCTTAGTTATAATTTTAATACTGATGGGGCACCAATTTTTTCTTCTTCGAGATCATCTATGTGGCCCATACAACTGTGCATTAATGAACTACCGCCTCATGAGAGATTCCGTAGGTTGATCATTGCTGGAATATGGATTGGAAAAAAAGAGCCATCAAGCACTTTCTTAAACACATTTCTCAAAGCATTTGTTGATCAGGCAAAAACCTTGTTAAACGTTGGTGTTGATATTATTGCCCCAAATGGAGATTTAAGAAATTTTAAGTTAATTCCGTTATTCTTCTGCATAGATTCCGTAGCCAGACCTATAGTTCAGAACAGAGTCCAGTACAATGGATATTATGGATGCAGTTGGTGCTATATACCAGGGGAGCCAATTAACAGGCAGGTGAAATATCCTAAAACGGAAAATGTAGAGGAAAGGAGTCATGAAAGTCATTTAATTGACTTGCAGGAAACAGTAGACAACAACTATGTTACTAAAATTCGGGGAGTAAAAGGTCCCTCAATTCTACTAACTATGCCTTCTTTTGACATCGTGTGGTCGCTGCCACCTGATTATATGCATGGTGTAATTTTAGGTGTCGTTCGTCAACTTTGGGATCTATGGACTTCATTTACTCCTGAAAATAAGTTTACTTATTACATTGGAAAACCAGAGACTTTAAAAATACTTAACAAAAGATTATTGAGTATTCGTCCACCTCATGAAATAAATCGCTTACCAAGACCACTTAATGAAAAAGCAAAGTATAAAGCAACTGAATGGAAGTGGTGGCTTTTATTTTACTCAGTTCCCTGTCTTCAAAACATCTTAAAATCCAGGTACCTTTCTCACTTTTGCCAACTGGTTGATGGCATTTATACTTTATTGAAATCAAAAATTAGCCCTTTTGATTTAGAAAGGGTTGAAAAAAATCTAAGTGAATTTGTTTACACCATGGAGGAATTATATGGCAAAAGTTCTATGACTTTTAACGTCCATTCCCTGTTGCATTTATGTCAATCAGTAAAGAAAACTGGTCCACTTTGGGCAACCAGTGCTTTCCCTTATGAATCTGGTATTTATCGACTGAAGCAACAAGTTAAAGGTCCAGTTGGAGTTGCAAAACAAATTGCTAAAAAGGCCTGCAATATAAACAGCTTTTTAAATTATTGCAACATAAAATCTCGTCTTACCTTAAATGAAAAAGCTGCAAGTTACTGTAATTCCTTATTTAGAATTAAGAAAAAAGGTGGTGAAAATGGTATAAATTTTTGTGGACGTTGTTTTTTTATGTCTGAAGCTGAATTTCTAGCAATGTATTCCATTCCTTCACCCTTGCCAGATACAAACCATCTTTGTTACAATAGGTGTAATCTTAATGAAACAATATTACATAGTCTTAAATACACCAAAGCTAGGAAAATGAATGACACTATTGTTAAATTAAATAATGGAGTATTTGTTGAAATACACAGGTTCCTAAAAAATGGAGCTGAGGGATTCTTGATAGGCAAGAAATTATTAGTAAGGCCTGTAAAAATTGGAAAAATTGGTTTTAAACATATTTTCTCTGTTACGCAATATTCTCATGAATTTTTGGTTGCATCAATATTGGAAATCAAGGAAAAGTGCTTATTAATTGAGGACCCTGACCAAAATGTTAAATATCTTTGTACATTTCCTAATATGTTTGAGGTTCAATAATTTTATTCTAAAAAAAAATAAATTTAAAAAATTTGCAGCCAATTTATGTTTAATAACCTTTACCTACCAGTAACTACCATTAATTAAAATAATGTTAAACCGTTTTCAAAATATTCCTTAGTAACAATTTAAAAAACTCACCTGGTATAAGATTTTTAATAAATTTAAAAAATCTTGGAATAATTTAAATTATCTTGGGTTCTAATAAATTAAGATTAATTAATTAATATTAATCATATTTTTAATAAAACAATTAACTCTATTATCACATGTAAAAAAAGGTAAAATAAAAATAACACATGTAAAAAATAACTAAAATAAAAATTCTTTAACAATCTTAACAAAAAATAATTTTCTGAGCGAAAAAATAAAATAAAAACATAACTTCTTTACATTGACTTAATATAAATATTTAATTATTTAAGTTAACTGTCATCTATACTTTCTTCATTTAACCTTCCTAGAATAAAAGGTCTAAAATTAAACAATCATCTTCCTTTGAGAAAAAATATTAAACAAAAATATCTAATATTTTTATTACCTACCTTTAATTTTAGGTTTGATGAGATCTTGCATCTTTTCTCCAACTCTATGGTTAATGCTATCCACAACCGCATTAATCTTTTCTAAAGAATCCCCATTTTTTTCTAATGTATAACGAATAATATCTGCAATTTTGTTCATTATTTCTAGGTATAGTAAACTATTTATTAATAAAATATAATTGCTATATTTACCATGGACTGCCATTAACTTTGTTCCATCTAATGCTGGTTTTGCCTCTGTCTTTGTCCTATTACATTTTCGTCCACTTACACTGCTTTCCATTAAGACTCTTTCACCAAATACAGCATATGCAATTTCTTTTATTAATAAAGAGTAGTTATTCTTTTTGGGTTTATTAGCAGCCGAATCATAAATTTGACATGGAAGCCAAACATTTCTCCCTAAATGAATCTAAAAATATATATTAAATAATAAGTTAATCAATGTTAAGCATTAAATCATGCACATTTCCATCTAATCTGGTTCCAGTGGGTAATTCCAATTCCAGTGGGGGTTGTACTCCTCCGTTAGTTGCAGTCAATTCCAAATCTGCATTTTAATAAAAGAAATATTAAAATTATTATAATTTATAAGAAAAGTTTATGCATTTACTTTTAAATTTCTCAATCACTACACTTTGCAGTTCCTTATTTAATTTTGATAAAACATTAATTTCTTCTTTTAATTGACCATTTTCTGTTTTAAGTATTGATATTTCCATTTTAAGACTATTCATTTCCTTATCTTCAGGATTAAGTGTTTTTATACCTCTTGTTCTATTATTAAAGATTTTAGTTTTATCAGAGGTCGAAGGAATGCTTGCCTAAAAAAGTAATTACTTGCTTAAGCAATACTAAGAAAAACAGAAATGAGGTGCCTCCAATGATTTTTAAAAATATATAGCATTCTTATTTGGGTTGGCATAATTAAAATCAAATTAAATGTTGATTTGCATTTCATATCTGTTTGGAAAATTTATGAAACCACTACATGTTTAATGAAAAAGAAGAATATTCTTCTTATATTATATAGGTAATAATGTTTAAACTATAATATGTGACTTACTTCCATCCCTACATTAGTAAGATCCTGCAGAATGTTGGAATAGTTTTCATGCAATGCTGCTTTCTTTAAGTCTTTGCATTCTTTTTTGCTTTTGGTAATTATGGTCGACTCTTCTAATTCGTCACATGTAGACGATTCATCAAATAGGGTTTTAGGTATCCTGAATCTTTTTTCTTCTGCTTTCAATAAAGCATCAGCTTCAGTTTCTAAAAATTAAAGAAGGTATATATATATATATATATATTATAATTATTTGCATATTTAAATGTTAATGTTAAAAAAATTAAATAAAATAATTAATTGTAAGAATTTTTTTTAACTATTCTTTGTGTACAAAGAATTTAAAAATTATAAAAAATTATTGCCCTTTGCTGATTTTTATTGCCGTTTAATTATCTAATAATTTAATTAATTAATTAGGTTATGTAGTTTTCCTTTTGAAATTTTTTGGGTGATTTACAAAAGTTAACATGTATTTATAAATTAAAGACTTACCAGCAGTGCATATTAAATGTGCCCTATAGTATTTTTCATCAGTATACAGCACTTTGTAAGCATGGTCGAAGTCGATATTGTTTATATCAAATTTTTTTATTTTGTCCGCTGTGACAACCATTCTTACGCCATCGTCCCTAAATCTTGCACATATAAACATTTTTTTAATATAATACACACTATTAACACTAGGCACTTAACACTGAAATCGACTAATAAAAAACACAGATTATAAAGGTAAAAAAAACCGCTAATAAATGGCCGGCGTAAAGACTTGTTGGCGTCTCAACCTCGTTGATTTTGCGCAGCTACACGAGAGCCCTCTTGCGATATTTATATTGTATTGGGAATAACCAATTAGCAGATTTTTCGAATCTTACACTGGGAATACCCAATTGCGATATTTGTATTGTATTGGGAATAACCAATTAGCAGATTTTTCGAATCTTACACTGGGAATGCCCAATTGAATTCAATTGGAAATTACCAATAGGTAGCTTTATCCAATCGAAACCAATAAAAACCATTAGAATCCTAACTGGTATTTCCCATCATGGAAAATACCAGTAAAAACCAATTTCTGTTTTATATCGCGCCCAATTAAATCCAGTAAGTCCAATTCAGACCCATTGGGACCAACCAATACTTCAATTGGTTTCTACAGGATTTAATCGGTCATTTACAACATGGTGAGTACATATACAGTGCTTGCAAATCCAAGTCCGACCGGTTTGAGAAGGACGCGTGAAAATAACAAGGATAGAACGCCAAACAGAAGGCGCTTACAATACGCACGCCTGACGCTCTGACCAATCAAATTCTGTTTGGCATTCTATCCTTATTCTTTTCACGCGGGTATTGAACAGCCGTCCTTTCCAGTGCGGTCGGACTTGGATTTGCAAGCACTGTATGTACATATATATCTATAGATTGACGGCCGAAGCGTAGCTGAGGCAGACAACAGTACGAAGCACAAAAAGAGCTTCTACTCCAAATAACATATACAATTTTTTTTTCAGGGGCATAATATAAATAGGATAAGCAATAGAATTATTTTATTTACTCATAACTCGTGTGGGATAAAATTTTGGCTAAAAGCATTAGAAATTATTGATAAAAACTAAAAAAACTAATAAACCTTACTTACAATGCCGATAAATATCCGAAACTAAAACTAAACACTGCTCTGTCAAAATGCTGCGCTTGAATTAATTCATAGATAATAAATCATAATTAATTTTGACGTACTGACATTTGTTTGAAGTTTAGACATTGGCGACTCGTCTATCATCATAATATTATACTAATAAACTAGTTTTTCTTTATTTCGTTCAATTAAAATTTAATAAATAATCACTAAATATTCCGTGCGATTATAATTAATATAATTAATACATCGTGATTGCTTTGTATGAAATGCTAAATTAATTTTATTATTTGACGTTTATTGAGTCACCTATGGATTTACTTCTATCCCTAGGCTTTTTTGAGTTTTTTGTCTGCCGCTAATGAAAAAGACGCACTTCAACTATCTCTATACATGCATATAAGGTTGTATATCATGGCCGCTTGAAAACAAATGTCAGTACGTCAAAATTAATTCAAGCGCAGCATTTTGACAGAGCAGTGTTTATTTTTAGTTTAGGCTTTGTTATCTATGGTTTAGGATATTTATCGGCATTGTAAGTAAGGGTTATAAGTTTTTTTAGTTTTTATCAATAATTTCTAATGCTTTTAGCCAAAATTTTATACCACATGAGTTATGAGTAGATAAAATAATTCTATTTCTTATCCTATTTATATTACGCCCTTGAAAAAAAAATTGTATATGTTATTTGGAGTAGAAGCTCTTTTTGTGCTTCGTACAGTTGCCAGCCTCAATCTCTGTACTCACCACAAAAAGAGTCACTTCTACTCCTTATGACATAATCTACTATTTTTACTTAGTATTTAATACTACTACCTTTATACGTAGAATATGGTATATTTTACTATTATATAGGTACCTTACTATTATATAGGTACCTAACTGAACTATATTTATAAATATGCTTAACAGAATGTTCCAGGAATATTCCTAAATGAACTTTCTATAGCAATTACTTTCTATTTCTATTTTTACCACTAAACTTTGCAGCTTCTAAGAACCTGCCTATAGGCCAGAGAATAGGATTATGCTATATTTCTTTTAAGCATGTTCTTTAGAAGAAATATAGCATGATCCTAAGAATATTCTCACTGGAAGGTTTAAAAAACATTCTTAGAACATGACTAGAAGAAATATAGCATGATCCTAAGAATATTCTCACTGGAAGGTTTAAAAAACATTCTTAGAACATGACTAGAAGAAATATAGCATGATCCTAAGAATATTCCCACTGGAAGGTTTAAAAAACATTCTTAGAATAAACTGTGCTATCAGGGCTATTTATAAATAATATTATAATAACCTAGGAA